AGCTGGCAGATGACAGACAGCATCCTTCCCAGGAGACAGAGGCCCGAGGTCCCTCTCCGGAAGGGGCACCCAAGGTCTGGCTTGGTAAGCTTCCAGAGACAGCTGGTGACAAGAGATGCCCCCTCTGGAGTCCAAGCCAGTGGAACATCCCAGGCTGCCTTCTGCAGGGGACACTTCTAGAAAAGCAGGGCACCTAGAGTTCTGTGTGCTTCACATCAACCCAGCAGACATCCTGGATCCAGGGATGGATCAGAGGCAGCCCCAGCCCTGGGCAGGACCAAACCAGGCCACATGCTCAGTGCCCAGGCCTGGGGTGATGGCGGTGGGAGGGGGGGCGGCTCTGGGCACCAGACTATGAAGTCTGGATGTCATCCTTCAGGAGAGAAGCCCCCCAGAGAGCTCAAGTAGGAGAGCAGTGAGGTCAGATTTGCACTCTAAAAAGTTCTCCAGTGCAGTGTGTGGGAAAGCCCACAGGCAGTAGTCAGGGAAGTGCCACGGGGATGGTGCCCAGGGCTCACGTGTGTGGTGGGGCTTTCCTGAAACCCAGGGTGAGGAGGGCTGACTGTGTCATGCCTCACAGTTGCCAGGGACCCTATTTTCCTGCTACCCAAAGGCCAGTGGACCCAAGGGTGGGTACTGCTCAGCCCACACAGAGCTTTAAAAATAAGCAAGGGCCCTGTGTTTGTGCTTCTCCAGGCACAGACTGCTTCCTGAAGGGTCACACAGACACTGGGGTCAGTGCCACCCCCCAGAGAGGAGCTGGGAGGAGGGAAGCTTTGCTTTACCCTGTCTCCTGCACTTCACATGCACACTTCACTCAATGCACAGAGCGCCTTGCCAGAGACCCACACAGACAGTCAGCAAGGCAGGGGGCCACCTCCCTGCTACAGACGGCGAGGCCCAGGGACCCAGCAGCATGTAGGAAAGTGAGAATCTGGTCCCAGGTATGTCTGAATCCAGAACCTGCCTCCTCCGACCACTCTGCATATCTCCTGGAGCCACAGGGCTTTCCAGCTGAAGGATGGAGACCCAGCTCTGTGGCAGACGCACTAGGTGGCTGGTGCTTCTTCCTGGGGAGGCTCCCATAAGTGGGACCAGTTGAGCTGGGCCTTGAAGAACGAGTAGTGCTCCAGGTTGAGGCAAGACTCTGTTCAGTGGAGAGAGATAGAAAAGCACAGCTTGGGTCCAGGAAACAGTGTGATAAATGGCAGTGCACAGGGCCTCAACAGGCACCAGATATACCTGAGAAACCACTGGAGCAGCTCCTTCCAAATCCCAAGGGCTGTCAGGAGCCTGTGCATGTGGCAGAGTTTAGAGGAAAAAATGGAATAAAGCCTGCTGTGGAAGAAAAGGCGGTAAGAATGCTGAGGCTCAGAGAGGTTGACTGGCTCACCCAGGGTCACACAGCCAGTGTGTCTGTCTGATCCAGCACTCCCTCTGGCAGAGGGTTAGGGTGAGAGAGGGCTCAGAGAGCCCTGCCCAGGGAGCAGGGTCTGCTCAGTGGTAGGCACAGACACACCAGGGATCCCAAAAGGAAGTCAAGGTCCATCAGGCTCCACCCCAGGTCCCCTGGGAGGGCCATCTGTCACCCCTGCTGCAGCAGAGGGAGCACTGCGTGGAGAGTGGGGCCCGCTTCAGCCCTTGGACAGTCCCTCTGACTCAGCTTCCTCTGCAGGATGGGGTGCAGTGCCTGCTTCCCAGGGCCGCAGTAAGGGAGATGCCGTGGATTCTGAAACAACAGACATTTGTGGTCATGCCCTGGAGCCTCCGCTTCAGCGGGTCCAGGGGCAGGATGCCTGTGTCCTTCAGGCCTGGCCCTGCTCTGTGTTCCAGCCCTTATCAGAGGCTCGTGGACAAATCACCCCATCCAGGCCCTGCTTGCTGTTCCCATCTGCCACTGGCAACTGAACAGTGAGCCCCACTGTGTCCTCCCGCCCAGCACAGGAAGAACTCTATTTAGTTCTAAGCTGCACCTTTGTCTCTTTTTCATTTTGGTCTAAATTACAGATTTTTTAATCCATGCAGGTTTTTGAAAGGGCCAGATTTGTGCTGCACTTGAGCTCAGTTCAGCAGAACCCAGGGGCCTGGGCACAGAGCCTAAGGTGGAGGCCACGTCAGATGAGGTGGCCGGGGCCCATGCACAGGCGAGGTCCAGGGAGCAATGGGACAGAGCAGGGAAGGCTTGGAAGGGGCACAGCCAACCAGAGGGGAGAGAGCGGCCTGGCGGCTAGGTGGGCTGCTGTTGCACGCACAGAGAACGTAGCACCGAAGCACGTCCTGGCCTCCAGCCTGGCCTGTTATTGGCTGAGGGGCCTTAGGCAAGGTCTTTCCCTCACTGGGCCTCTTTCCTGCTCTATAAGACGGGGGTGACAGCACCTGCCTTACCGGTTTGCGGTGGTGTTTCAGACTAAGTAGGGGACCACAGAGGGCCCCCAGAGGAGACCCAGGACGGACTGGGCCCATGTGTGTTGGGGCAGCAGAGAGGGCCAGGCCTGGGTGAGCAGCCAGGGGTAGAGAAGCCCAGGGGAACATGGCCCTGCGGAGGCTTCCGAGGGCCTAAGTGTAGGAGGCTGACCAGGGGCCCCCAGGGCCTAGACCCCCAAGACTTTGTAATGACCCTACTTCCTGTCCTCTGGGACCTGACCTGCCCCCAGGCAATTGCCCTGATGTGCAGACCCTCAGCTGACCTTGAGGCTGGCTGCCAGAAGCACTTAAGAGCCAATTTTCAGAACTGCCCTGGTTTCCTGTCTGTAGTGAGGCCCTAGAGGAGGGGCCACTTTTGCAGCAGTTGGGGACTTGGCACACTGGCTGCCTCTCCTCAGGGCAGCCTGGAGGTCAAGCCAGAGAAACCAGCCATTTACTGCTGGACCCAACAGGCAGCGTCACCAACTCCCAGGCTGTGTCCAGAGCTGAGGAAGGAGAGACTAGCCTTCCAGAGCCAGAGAGTTTCTCTGAAGATGAGTTGCTCTCACCGGTGGAGGAGAAGGCCGGGAAGCTCATTAAAAGTGGAGGGAACAGCCCAAGCAAAGGCATGAAGGTGGGAGAGAAGCAGAGAGCTTGGGCTCAGGAAGACAGTGACCCAGGGCAACTGACTGGCAGAAGACTCTGACACTGGTCACGGAGTGCAGTGGAGGCCACAGGGAGTGACACGGACAAACCCAAGTGAGAGACCAGGGTGGCTCTGATGCTGAGGCCGAGCTGCCCTCTCCTTGCCAGCCCCCTGCAGCTACACCCCTGCCTTTGCCGGGCTGTTCCCTCTGCCCACAGTGCCCCCCACACATGCACACTTGCTATGTCCAAATCCCCAAATGTTACTTTTCCAACGTAGCTCTCCCTAACCTTTTCCAGTCCTCCCAAAGCCACCCACACTCTCTCCCTGCTCGGAACTGGCAGGGCCTTTGTCTGTCCTGCACCTTCACTTACCACAATGTATCATGAATTTGCACATGGTTCATCTTTCTCACTGCCTTTCCTCAGCTGGACTCAGCGCACATTTACTGGCACATGCTCCGTGCCAGGCCTCACCAGAGCCCTGGAGACACAGGGATCCTGCCCTTTTCCTGGGTCTACTGGTAGACGTCCGTAGACCACACATCAGCAATACATTGCATGATGTGCAGAGTTAGAAAACATGCTGTGCAGGGACAGATGGCCTGAATTGGGGAAGTGGAGAAGACTGGAGGGCTGCGTGGAAGAGGGGGTAACTGAGCTGAAGATGACCCACAAAGGCAAGAAGGGTGTGCCAGGCAGGTGGGCAGCGTGCACAAAGGCTTGGGAGAGTGGAGCTGCCTAGCCCATTTGCTGGAGTCGAGGGCAATGTGTGTCGGGGGATGAGGTGGTGGTGGTGAGCAGGACGTGGGTTGGCAGAGACCAGATGGACCAGTCTGCAGCCCCACTGTGGGATTCTCCCACACTCCCCCATGGAGTGCACTTTGTTGAGTGGGTGGGGGGGTGAGTGGTGGAGAGGGCCCTGAGGGCTGCTGTGCAGTGATCGCTGGCCCTTTGCAGACACCACAGAGGCCCCGGGCAGTTGCTTTGTGTTTTTTTGCTTCTCAGCCTTGACTTTTGCCTGCAAAGGCCACAGCAATGCAAGGAGTTAGAAGAGCCTTCTGGTTATGTCTTAGTCCATCTGGACTGCTGTAACAAATACCACAGACTGGGTGGCTCATAAACAATGGAAACCTATTTCTCTCAGTTCTGGAGGCTAGAAGTCCAAGATCAGGGTGCCAGCGTGGTCAGGTTCTGGTGAGGGCCCTTTTCTGGGTGGCAGATGGCCACCTTCTTGCTGTATCCTCACATGGTAGAGAGAAAGCCAGAGAGCTCTCTGCAGTCCCTTTTATAAGGGCACTGATCCCATTCATGAGGGCCCCACCCTCATGACCTAATCACCTCCCAAAGGCCCCACCTCCTAAAGCATCACATGTGAACTGGGGGGGACACAGTCCATTCCTAACACATTGTAAATAACCGAAGCTCAAGTCAAACTGGCATAAGGGAGGAAACTATTAACTGACAAATGAAAATGTGCAAGGGTAGTTTGAGTACCAGGCCCTTTGCCCCGTTTTTCTCTCTATCTCTCAGCTCTGCCTTCCTCTCTGTTGGCTCTTTCTCAAGCCAATGGTGCCCCCAGGAGCTCCAGCCGTAGCCCCATCAGGAGAAAGCCCCCTTTCCCTGAAAGAGCTCAGTGATTATTCTAAGTCCCAGACATGGTGCTCATTCCTGAACCCACCACTCTGGAATGGGGTCCTGTACCCATGTACCTGGGTGGAGACAGGGCTGGTTTTGAAGAGATGGGGCTCTGTTGTCAGAGGAGGGGGATCTGGGCAGCCAGAGTCCCCCAACATCCAAATGCCCCCACCCCGAGTCCACGTGAAATGTACCCAGACCACGGGCTCAGGTCAGGTTTTGGTCTCCTGTCACTCACTAGCACCTCTGAGTCATACAGCACACAGGAAACACCTTTCCCGTGTGTAACCTCTGCTCTCTCTCTCGTTTTCCAGGGGCCACTGGGTCTGGATGGCAAGCCTGTAAGTGATGACAGGGCAACTCTAGGTGGTCCTGTGATGGGCTGCCACTGTGGGATTGGGAGTGACCACAGGGCACCAGAGTGCAAGGGCCACTGGGAACCTGGTTCAGCACAGAGGGAAGCCATTTAGGCGCCAGACTTGAGTTCAAATCCAGCTCTACCGCTTGCTGACCGTGTGACCTTGAGGAGGCCTCGTCACCTCCAGAGCCTGAAGCTTCTGTCTGTCAAATAGGCCCGTTAAACCTCCACACAGGGATGCTAGGGACATGGAGATCTGTGGACAGCACCATCCCTGCTGTCTAGTCAGCCTTCAAAACATACAAGCCCCTCCTAGCAGGCCTCACACATGGAACATCCCTCCACAATCTCAAGGTTTCAGTGGTGTATGGTGGGCTGATGAGTTCTCAACACCCTGGCCAGGACCCTGTGGTCCACAGGCATCTTCAGCAGAATGAATGAGTTGCACAGGGAGACAGCATAATTAAATAAATAATTGGGTGTGGATGGACGGATGGATAGACAGACAGATGGTGGATGGATGGATGGTGCACAGATGATGGATAGATGGGTAGAAGGAAGGATGGACAGATGGATGGATGATGGGTGAATAGAAGGATACATGTATAGAAGGAAGGATGGATGGATAAATGGATGAATGAATCTATGAATGGCTGGCTAGATGGATAGATGCAAGCATGGGCAGATGAATGATGGATGGAAGGATGACTGAATGGTTGAATGGATGAATGAATGCATGGATGGACGGGTGGATGGAAGAACAGTCAAATGAGGCAGAATCAGTTGGGTGCCTGGAAGAGTGAGTGAGTTAGGGATAAATGCATGATGGCTGAGCAGACAAGCGAATGGAGAAACGAATGGACTAACAGATGACTGAAGAGTTGACATGTGCATTATTAAAGGAGAGAGGAAAGAACTGACTGCCTGGATGGTAGTTGTCGAATGAATGGAAGAGCCAATGCATTACGGGCTGAAGGGATCATGGATGGTTTGGGGGCAGCAGCCTCCTCACCGGGACCTGACAGCAGGTGCTGCGCAGGGCGGGCCTGCTCTCTGCGGTGAGTGACTAGCACATGTGCTCCTGTCTCTGCTGAGAGGTGCCAGTGGGCCCTCACTGGTGACCCCCCAACCCCCCACCTCCCCCATACAGCAGACTGAGGTGTGGAGCTTCCTTGGGGCTCTCATGAAGGGCTGACAGGCTTCTGTGTGTTTCTGCTCTGCCGCCTGCAGCTGTGCTCAGCCGCGTGGGCCCCTTGTGTCCCCGAAGCCTCAGGGAAGCCGGGAGGGGGACCAGCCTAGTGCCCCTCACTCATGCCTATTCTTTCTCCACATTCCTCCTCCAGGGACTGCCAGGCCCCAAGGGGGAAAAGGTAAGTGATGCTGGTAGCTGTGCAGGCACGGTCGGTGGCTGAAGGTGCCAGAAACCTGCCTGCCGAGCCCAGCTCCAGAGAGCCCTTGGGCGCATCCCAGCCCCTCCGAGAGCCTTGGCTTCCCCACCTGTAGCAGGGCTAATAGTGTCTGCCTCCCGGTGGTTACCAGGCTCACACTGGACGATTGAAGGCACCCAGAGGGTTGACTGCGTGTTCTTGGGCCAAGACTCAAAGCACAGTCTGTCCAGAATGACAGTTTCCACAGTAATTAATCGCGGGAAGGGAGTGCAGAGGGAGGACTGACCAATGCCTGCTGATGGTGTTCGTTGTGGGAAGGACACCCTCGCCACCAGTAAAACAGACTGTGGAAAGATGCCCCTGTGCTCGGCACAGCCCCTTGGGAGAAGGGCTTCCCTGGCATTTGGCACTAAAATGTCATGGCAGGGTCCTAGAAGGCAGGGGGCTCCAAGTGCCTTGGCAGGGAGTAGGAGAAGGCGGCAATTCATGCCGCGTGCTGGGGTGGGGGGAGGGAGGGAACAGAGCAGACCAGGTGTGGCCAGGACAACAGGTGCTTCCGGGGAAGGGCTGGGCATGGCTGGGCCATGTCCACCCCTGAGCCCCACTGTGACATGGCCTACTGAGGTAAGGGTGGCCAGGGTCCCGGTCCACCATCAGCACTGAGCGAGGCACGGGATCTGGTCCTCTGGGCTTCGGGTTTGCCTTCCAGCTCCACCTCCAACTGTGTGGCCTTTGGCAAGTTGCTGGGCTCTCTGGGCCTCAGTTTCTCCATCTGTAAATGAAAGCCAGCTTCACAGAGCCATGGGGAAGATTGCTCAGGGTAGAGGTCAGAGCACCCTTTGCCGATGATGAGAGGCTCGTGTGGCTGGAAGTCCAGTGGTGGCTAATGCCACCACGGCAGGGGCTTGAAACCAGAGAGAATTGGTGTCTTGGCATCTACCACTTCTTAACATACTGCCCCAAAACTCGGTGACTTGAAACAGTTAATCACCTAATTATCATCCTTCTCCGGTCTGCAGTTCCAGGATTCCAAGAGGACACAGTGGGAGCCGCCCATCCCAGCTCTACCAGGGCTAGGGGCTGGCACTAGATAACAGACCACCAGGTCCCAAGCCCAGATCTGCTGGCTGTGTGACCTTAGGCAGGTTACTTAGCCTCTCTGTGCCTGTTTCCTCATTAGAAATGGAGCCAGAAGTAGAGCCTACATGTTATTTTTGTTAGAATTAAGTGAGACCATGTACATGAAGCACTGAGCACAGAATAAATGTTCGACACATGAGGTGGATGAAGTTGTAAAAGTGGTGGTGATCTATCTCCCTTTTGTTCCTAGGGCATACCAGGAGACTTTGGCCCCCGGGTAAGAACCGAGCAAGACCCCCTCACCCACCCGACGTGGTTTGTTTTATATTGTAATAAGGCATATCTAGCAGGTCTTCTGGGTCCCTAGAGCTTATCACAGAACAAGGGGAGTGAGCAGCTGTTCCTCTCCGTCCCCAGGGCTGTTGTACTGCAAGGCTTTGCTTCAGTGGCTGCTGGGGGAGCTCCAGGCCTCGGTCCGGCCCAGGCCACCAACCCCCTGCACAGTCAGGCTTCCCAGTAGCACGCCACCACCGATGGGCAGACAGTGGGGCTGGCACTGGTCCCAGACTGGAGACTGACCTTCATGAAAGGGGCTGGCACCCCAGGAACAGGGAAGGCTGTGGGGTCAGCATCCCTGAGCCCAAAGTTCAGCTCTGCCATCTGAGTGAGTCACTTTCCCTTCTGAGACTCAGTTCCTCCAACTCTGAGTTAGGGGGACAGCCCCTATGCCAAGCCACTGTGGGGAAGATTCATTGCAATTATAATAGTGGGCACCCAGCATGGGGACAGCTGGGTAGAAATCATAGCCGGTGGGCTGGGTACCCACAGCGAGCAACCGCAGGGGCTGCAGTGCACAGTGTGGCCTGGGTCCCAGTCCCAGCCCCAGCTCTGCAACCTCTGAGCTGGGTTTGTGAAATGAGGCCAGTATGGCCCGCATCACATGGCGGTTGTGAGGTGAGCTAACAGCAGGAAAGGGTGCTGGCCAGGCTGAGCCCCTGAGACACAGCTGTTCTGTGCTGGGCCTTTGACAGGAGGGCAAGGGCAGGGCCACCTAAAGCTGGTACGCTGTCCCTTACAGCAAAGAAAGGGTATCCACTTGATTTGTGGCTGCTGAGAGACCTTTCTGCTTGCTTTCTGGTGGATGTATGGAAGCTGATTTCCCAAACAGGGATGCTCACACCTCATTGGAACTCCTCCAGCCCAGGTGTCATCAAAGAGTAGATCCCTGCGCTCTTCATGGGTGTCCCCACCGTGTCCCAATGTTCCAGCCACCTATGAAGCAACCTCCAGATCTGAAAGTTCAGTGGCTTAAAACAAGATGTCACCATCTCCTGTGAGCTCCAGGTTGGCTGGCGTCTCTCCTACTGCAGACAGAGGCAGCTGGGCCTGGAGCCCAGGGTGATGGCACCCTCACATGGCCACAGTTGGTGGCTATTGGCTGGGGGCTCAGCCAGGGAGGATCTCTGTGTGGCAGGGGCTTCTCCCAGCATGGCAGCGAGCTTCCTAGAGGGGCATCCCAGGGTGACTTCCCAGAATGCAGGAAGTTGGAACTGCCGGGCCAGGCCAGTTAAGAGCTATATCCAGAAAGGACACAGCAGCACTTCTGGTGCATTCCATCAGTCACATCAGTCACAGCCCACCCTATGTCAAGGGATTTCAGGGGCAAGTAGAGAATGGGCCCCAGCTCTTGGGAGCAGCAAGGCCACTTTGCAGCAGAGCTGCCGAGGGAAGGGAGTGAGCACAGCGGCATCTTCGGAGAACATGGTGTGCCACCCTAATACTCCCTTCTCTGGGCTGAATTAAGTGGCTTTGCCTCCAGAAATAGCTTTATGGTTTTCTAAAACACCCTACTGCCTTTCTGACTAGATGGCTTTCCCATGGCTCAATCCGGGCTTTATAAATAAAGACTATCACATGTACAATCGCCGCGTCCTCAAGGTAGACCGGCCCAGGGGCGTGTCTGGGTCTGCTGGTTTGCTGTGCTCCCCTCCACTGACCCCTGCATTTCCAGGGTCAGACCTCAGCCATCCGATCCTGGCAGAAGGAGGCAGCTGGCCAGCTTCGTTTCCCAAGGGAAGAAACTAAAATCCTCTCCGAGGAGCTGTTCAAGTATCTAAACCCATTTTCTGCCTCAATAAGTAGAGTCCAGGCCAGTGGCTCCCAACCTGGGTACCAACAGGGGTCAGGGTGCCTTCAAATTCTTCCTGATACAGTGTAAAACAAAACAGGAGTTAGCACCACCATCGCTGCCCACAGCTGAGTGAGCTAGCCAGACGGGCGGCGGTTCTCTTTACTTCGGGCTGCAGTCATGTGCCCTTGGCCAGGACCCTGGCTGTGTCAGACTGATCAGAAGATACAAGTGGTGGACACTGAGGGCTCCAGTTAATTTTTTAATTGGGAAAACCAGTGAACTATGTCTTAGGTCCAGTTGGCTGGAAAGGTGAGCTCTTCCATATCATGGGATCGTGGATGAAAACCTCGGTGGCCAGAGGAGGCACTACCTTTCCTAGCCCTGTTCCCCTGGGTAAATGATTATCCGCTGACCCCAGCCACTTCATCTGTGAAATGGAACAATAGCAGCCCCCTGGCCGGGTGGTCACAAGGGTTGGATGAGACAACCTCCAGGAAGGCCTCACTCCCCAGCACCAAGCACATAGCAGGGGCCAGCTCCACAAGACGCTTCTCCCTTTCTTGGTTCCAGGAAGTTTGGGAGCTGCTGGCACTGTGAGCCGGGCATGCCCCTTTACTGTCCCCTGTGCCAGTGCTGGGCGGGCACGCCTGGGACAGCAAGAAGTGCTGGGAGCACTGTGGTCTTCCCTCCTTGCAGGTGGGGCCACGAGGTGAGGGTTCTGGCTGCCTGAGGTCTGACCCGGTACTAACATTGGGTCCAAGAGTTGGGGATTTGGTGCTGCATAAGAAAGACTGTGTGGTCCTTCATCACCCTTTTTCTTTTAACTTTTTACTTTAGGTCATCGTAGTTTCCCATAGAGTTGTAATAAATAATACCCCCACATGCCCCTCAACCAGTTTTCCCACAAAGGCGACATTTCGCATCCCTGTAGTACAGTCTCACAAACAGGACACTGATTCAATCCACCAGCATTTCGGATTTCACCCTCTTTACTCAAGTGTGTATGTTTAGTTCTGTGTGATTTTATCACACGTGTAAGTTCACATAACGGGCTACCCTTTCCTAGCTACAGTCAACTCCCTCCCCACCTCATCCCTAACCCCTGGCAACCATTAATCTGTGTTCCATCTCTGTAACTTTGCCACTTCAAGAATGTCGTGTAGATGCAATGGTACAGTATGTAAGCTTCTAAGATTGGCTTTTTTAATTCATTCTAATGCTCTTGAGATGCATCCAGCTGTGGCATGTGTCTGTCTGTACTTGCTCCTTTCTACTTCTTGCTGAGCACTGTGCCATGGTCTGATGCGCCTCAGCTGGTTGGCCATTCACGTCCTGGAGGTCATTTGGATTGTTTCTAGTTTGGCGCTATGACAAATAAAGCTGCTATGAACCTCCAGGCACAGGTTTTTGTGTGAACGTAAGTTTTCATTCCCCTGGGACAAGTGCCCAAGAGTGCCCCTCATTCACTGCAGGAGCTGACCAACCAGGAAGGGCTTTCAGGAGGCACTGGGTCCCTTTTCCAGGAGGAAGGGGTCTAGTTGTGCAGAGGTGTGTCTCATCTCTCCTCTGTGTGCCACAGCCAGGCCCTGTCAGCCTTCAGTGCTTAAGTGTGGGGACCTGTCCCTCCATGTGGCCTCCAAGAAGCCCAATAGTAAAGTTCTCTCCTCTGAGCCTGCCAGGCTGGGGAAGGGGAAGGTCCTGCACTGCCCATCTGAGGAAGCCCCCTCCAGAGATGGGAACCCGCTCTGCTCACCCTTAGTCATGCCAGGCCCCATCTCTTTCAGGGAGACCAAGGTCAAGAAGGAGCTGCTGGGCCTCCGGGGCCCCCTGGATCCCCTGGGGCCCGGGGCCCTCCTGGTGATACTGGAAAAGATGGCCCCAAGGGAGCACAAGGCCCAGCGGTAAGAGCGGGCATGGAGCTGGACCACCTGGGATGCGGTCTGCACCAACCAGAACCCCAAACCCTGATCCCAGAACAGCCCAACCCAGCCCTGTCCCTGGTCCAGACCTGAACCAGCCCTAACCCGAACTCCCCAGACCCAGACCTGTCCCCCATTCCAACCTTAACCTCTAATGTTAACTGGGTCCCTAACCCCAGTGAAATCCTTGACCCCAAATCCTGATCCACACCCCCATTTCTGACTACTACCAGACCCTAACTCTGACCCCTATAGACCCTGACCCTGACCCCAAACCCAACCCTCACCCTACACTCTAACCCCAAGGAGACCATAGACCCCAAACCTGACCTTGGTTGCCATCTCAGTCCCAGCCCTAACCCTGACCCTGGGACCCATATGTGGGCTCTTTCTCTGCAGATCTTTATCGACCTCTGTTCCCCCCTCCCTCCCTCCCTCCCTCCCGGCCTCTCTCTCCATCCCCTCACACTCCCCTTGAGCCTCCTCAGGGTCCCAAAGGAGAGACTGGAGAAGATGGCAAGATGGTCAGTATCCAGGGCATGTCAGAGGCCTGGGCTGGCAGCACTGTGGTCCCGCACACACCCGTGGAGGGGCCAGGCCCCCAGGCCCGGCTGCACCAGTCTGCATGCCGGGGAGGGGGCCACAGTCCACTGCAGTGCTTCAGGGCACTGACAGCGCCCACCCTGTCTGAGGCCCGAGGAGTGGGAAGTCGGAGTCAGGCCTGGTTCCCGAGGCAGCCCTGCCCCGTTCTCTGCTGGGCGCTGCCCTGTATAAAACGGGGATGATGAGGAAGAAAGCCCAGAAGCAGCCGCCAGTATCACATTGAACAACTTCTCTCTTGTTCCAGGGCCCAAAGGGAGTCCCGGGGCCCAAGGTGAGTGCTCCTCACCACCTGCCCACTACCCCAGGCCTGGGGGGTGGGGGGGCGCTTCTCTGCTCCGCACCTACTGAAGCAGGGGCAGCAGGGGCAGGAGACTGGGTTCTGTGGCCCTGGCAGGCTACTTCACCTCTTGGCCCTCGGCTTACTGATCCGCTAAATGGGGGCATGATGGATCTCTGCCTGACCTTCCCCCTGGGTTGTAAGGGTGTAATAATAAGACACCTTAGCTTTTAAAGCCCTCTCCACCATCTGCTGCCTCTTTATTTCCATCCTTGAGAGTGCCTACTGGGGCAGGAGGGGAGACTGAAGAACTGGAGCCCCTGGGCTGAGCAGGAGGACAGGAGGGGGCCACGCTGCATTTCATGGGCACCTGCTGCCAACCAGGGGCTTTCAGTGCATTCTCTCTGATCCCCCGAGACGACCTGAGGCTGGGGCATCCCATCCCCACGTCTAAGAGCAGTGATCTAGCCAGGGCCATTCAGCTCAGGATTTGGTCAGGATGGAGTCCTAGACAGTCAGTCCCACTGCCCATGGGCACCCCTCCGAGGAGCTAGGGTCTCGGGGCTGAACCAGGCCTTGGCCATCAGGGCCATTTGGACCCAAGGAGCAGGTGGCCTGTGCCCAGGCCATGCTCTGAGGGCTCTGACCTCTCCGGCACCCCTGCTGTCTCCCCTTCAGGGTGAGCCTGGTGTTCCTGGAAAGAAGGAGAGGGCCTGTGGAGGAACTTCTTGGTGAGGGTGTGGGAAGTGGCTGGAGAGAAGAGCCCAGCCGGGGCTGGGGCAGGGCTGGGGCCTCTGCAGGGAAGGCAGCCTCCTCGCCAGACCAAATCCATACTATGCAGCCCTTCTGTCCTCTGTCTCTGAAGCCAGGAGCTCATTCATTCATTTGCTCATTCACTCATTCTTCCCTTTCCTCAAACACATCAAGTCTACCCCCACTTCAGGGCCCAGGACAATGGTTCTCAAAGGGTGGTCCTGGGGCCAGCAGGATCAGAATTACTGGGGGCTTGTTAGCCATGCACATTTGGTGACCCACCCTGGACCCACTGAATCTGAGACATTGGTGGGAGCCATTATTATAGTGTGATTTATAATAAAAAAATATGTATTTGCTCTTGGCCCCATTGCTAGCACTGAGCTCCTAAAACCCTCGGAGTTTCCCAAGCGTTGATCTGCAAAGGTGTCTTTGGATAATGAAGTGACTTTTAGACCTCACCTAAGGATGGAGGCTGGTTGCCAGTGGAGCCAACTTTGTGAATAGTTGGAAAGGGTTGGAAATTTTAGTCTCACCCCAACCTCCCGGGAAGGGAGAGGGGCTGGAGATTGAGTTCAATCACCCACGACCAATGATTTAACTTATCATGTCTCTAATGAAGCCTCCATAAAAACCCAGAAGGACAGGTCAGAGGGCTTCCAGGTTGGTGACTACAAGGTACAGGGAGAGTGGTGTGCCTAGAGAGGCATGGAAGCTCCACTCCCCTTCCCCGTACCTGGCCCTCTGCATCTCTTCCATCTTCCTGTTCCTGAGTTATATCCGTTTATAATAAACCAGTAATCTAGGGAGTGAAATGTCTCTGAGTTGAGGGAGCCAGTCTAGCAAATTAATCAAACCTGAGGCGGGAATCGGAACCTCCCATCTATAGCCAGTGGTTCAGAAGGACAGGTGACCACCTGGACTTGCAATTGGTGTCTGAAGACGATCTGTTAGGACTGAGCCCTTAGTCTGTGAGATCTGATGGTATCAGAATCAGGCTGAACTGTAGGACACTCAGCTGGCATGGGAGCAAGGCTTGGCGGCGTGGAAACACACACACACCCGCCCCTCGTTGGAATTGGTGACCAGAACTTTCTGCCACGGTGGCTCTTTCTTCTCAGGGGGATGATGGGAGTCCAAGCCAGCCAGGGTTCCCTGGACCCCCAGGGCCCAAGGTAGGTGCACACCCCTCCCCAATAGACCCCTCTGCCCCTATCCTAGGCCCAGTTACCTGGCAGAGCCACTCCCTGGCCCTTCCACACCCTGGGGTGTGCCCTGGCTCCTGGGCAGGCCAGAGAGAGGCCACAGGAAAGCCTGGGCCCCCCTCACCAGTGGGCCTGCCAGCTCCTCCAGGCCACTTGACTTCCCTCACACGCTCAAGTCCTCTTGGTTCCCCTCTTGGGTGGCCCCACTCTCTGCCCTGTCCCCAAGTCAGGAATTGGGCATCATCCTCATTTTCCCAACCCGTCCTGAGAGCCACCAAACTCTTGGCCAGCCTGCCTCCACAATGTCTCTAGAGCCCCTGGGCTACCCCAGCTCTGCACGGAGACCCAGACGGGAAAGGGGGCCATGGTCCTAAACTTACCTGGGTGGGGAGTCCTGAGGTCCATGCCCCCCACTCTGGTGGGCTAGGGCACTTTCCCCAGGAACCTCTCGAAGCGCACAGACCCAGGTGGCCCCTAGTCTGCCCTGGGTTCATACCGCAGATGTCTCTGTTGCAGGGCGAGCCGGGCAGCCTGGGCCCTCGAGGAGAGAATGGTGTGGATGGTGCCCCAGGCCCAAAGGTGATGTCACAGGGCACTGCTCAGACCAATGCCTCTGTCACGGGGAGATGTGGCGTCACCGCCAGTTTGCCCTTTTAAGTGCAAAGTCTCGGGATGGCCTGGGCTCCAGGGTCTCACTGGACTGGCAATCAGAAGCTGCCTGCATGTGGGCATTTGGTGGTGGGTCTGGGTGAGTGACCAGGTCTCCACCAAGGCCCAGCGGTTCAGCAAAGCCCCCGTGTGCCTGGTACTGGGCCCCAGTGACTTGTCACTACACAAGGTGGGGTCAGTGCAGGGTCTGGGGGCCCTGCCTCCAGGAGGCATGTCCCAGAGCCACCGGTTGCATGTGTTAGGCCCTTAGGGCCCCAAGCTCCTTGGGGCAGAGGAGCCTGGAAGGGGCCTGGGAAACTTCGGCTTCGGCCCTGCACACCTGACTCCAGCCTCACATCTCCACAGGGGGAGGCCGGCCAGCAAGGCACCGATGGAGCCCCAGGGCCACGGGTAAGCAGTCTGCCCCTGACCTTGCCAACGGGATCCAGGGACCTGTTCCTCCAGGAGCCCCTGACCTCAGAAAAGCAGTGGAGCTCCAGGAACTGGGAGTCTTCTTTTTATAATAATTCGCTAGTGATTTTTTTCATTTTTAATCTCATAATACATGCTTTTGGTAAAATGTTCCCATATGGATATGTGAAAATAAGAGCCTTGGCCTCTCCCCAGGTGAGTGTGCGCCCTCCTAGAGTTTTCTTGGCACAGTCACACATAGACCCCTGATTTGTCACATAGGGTGTTACCCTACCCCTGGGGATGCCGCGCCCCACATCGCAGTTCATCCCTGTCTCCTGAGCACAGCCACCCTGGCTGGTCCCAGATCTTTTGGGACGAGCCCCAATCAACACACCTTTAGGTCAACATCCAGGATCCTATTCTCAGCTCTGTGACCTGAAGCAGTCACGTGTCACATCCCCTTATGCTCCCGGAAGCTGCTTTCATTCTCCAAAATATGGGTCTAAGCCAGAAGCCCAGGTGTGCAGGTGGCCAGGATTGGATTAGGTGCTGAATGTGGGGATTCTTTGTGAACTATACAGTTCTGTGCAGCCGTGACTGCGCAGGCAGCTGACAAATGAGCCCTGGCCTGGGTCTCTATGCCATCTGCAGGGGGATGTGCCATCTGACCAAGGTGCTGGCAGCCCCTCAGCAGACAGCAGCCTTGGGGTGGAGCTGAGGGTTGAGAGGAAGGGCAGGCCAGCAGCAGCATGCTCCGCGTGACAAGTGGAGGTGGACACGCAAGTGTGCACATGTGGATGTAGGCATGTGTGCATGTGTGGGCACGGGCAGACATGTGCTCCTGCCCAGGACTGAATGAGAATGTTAGTGCATGGCACAGGCAGCCTCTCCGCCTCCACCAGAGGATGGGAAAAGGGGGGGAAAGGGGTAAAATCCAACCAGCACATTTTTTTTTATTAAGATATTATTGATATACACTCTTACACAGGTTTCACATGAAAAAACAATGTGATTACTACATTCCCCCATATTATCATGTCCCCCCCACACCCCATTGCAGTCACTGCCCATCAGTGTAGTAAGATGCCACAGAGTCACTGTTTGCCTTCTCCATGAGAACTAGCATATTTTTTTTAAGCTGGCACATCTTTTATTGGCCTATACAGTGTTTTGGAAGGTTTGGGTGTTTTTCTTTATTTGCTAACATTTAAAAATCTGAAGAACTTCACATCCCCATTTTACTTTCCATCTTCCCTGGAGAACTCAGCCCAAGGGCTTCAGGGGGCTTCACTTCCCACCTGAAGGTGCACACGGACCAGGCAGGCCATGCTCCTCAGCTGGCCCGGGTCCCCCTTCCCTCCCGTGTGCCCCCTGCCTGGCCCCTGGAGTGTTTTCTCAGTGAGCCAGGATGCCAGGGCCTGAGTACACATCGCGCCAGGCCGTAGCTGAGCCCATGCATGCACTCGTGCTTTGGTGCAGGCCAGGCTACTGCGCTCCGTGGGTGAAATACAAAAGCATCTGCCATGGCTCTTCCCTGAACTCTCACTCTTCTTCCTACCTCAGGGTCCCCCGGGCCTCAAGGGAGAGCGAGGAGACACCGTGGTGATTGACTATGACGGCAGGATCTTGGATGCCCTTAAGGTAGCCTTCCTGGTAGGACCAGGATACACCCTTGTCCTTTCTGGAGGGAATAACCACTTACTTTGTGTATCAGTCCCACACTTCTTTACAGAAGCGACCGGGATCAGCTTAGCACAAACACCTCAACTGTACCATGTGCCTGATGAGGGAACCGTGCTGGGTCGACACCCACACGGTGCGGAGAGCCGCTGTGAGTGTGGCCCGTGTGGCCCTGAGCTCCCCAGAGGCCAAGGCAGAAAGGGAAGCTCCCTCGTTAAGGGCAGGAAGCAGAGCATTTCCTGGGGCCCAGTCCCAGCCAGGCCTCCCGGAGCCTTCTCCAGGGAACACCGGCTAGAGAGCTAGGTCTTCTAGTAGCTCTCAGGGATGATGAGAGTGGCAAGGTCTGCCCAGGGGCCTCAGGAGATGTGTGGTCTGAGTCCTGCCTGGTGACTGGCAAGCTAGCAGAGAGAGAGGCTGGGTGCCAGCTGGCCACAGATACCAGGAAAAGAAACTGATAGGGGATAGGGAGGGGGTCATCAGAGACCAGACTGGGCTTCAGCTGCCCCTACCTGAGCTTCAATTCCGGTTATCTCCCACGGGCCTCGGGGAAGTGCCAGCTGATGGTAGCTGCGGCCTGCCCCGGGCCTGCATGGTGTGGTGTGGCATGGTGTGGCGTGGCCTGAGGGCATCATGCACACGCATAGTGTGTCCTGGACTGGCTGGGAGCCCCTTGGAGAAGCTCTCTGAGGGCAGGGGAGTGGGAAGAAGTAGATTTGTTATGCCAGACTGTAATGATGACTCCCTATGGGCAGTGGGCTGCCACCATTGGCTTTTGAGCAGAGAGGTGATATTAAAAATACATATTGGGGGAAGGTAGCTGGGGAGTGGGGTAGAAGGTGAATGAGGGTGGGGAGGCAGACGCTGGAGGCGAGAAGGCCACTGGGGAGGCAGGCGCTGGGCCTGGCCCAGGGGAGGGTGGGTGGAACAAGAAAGATAGTAAGACCAGGGACATCTCAGGGGAAGCACCAGCAGGAAGGGGCAGGTCGGGGAGAGGAGGCGGAGCTTCACAACCGGCTCCTGCTCAAGGTCCTGCAAGGGTGAGTAGGGGACTTGAACTTGCTGGGGTGGGGGCTAAGCAGGGGGCAGCCGTCAGGAGGGGGCGTAGTTCAGGAGGGTGACGGTGAGCTGAGGTGCGCAGGCAGCCTGCAGGAGCCGGGTCAGGATGGAAGCCTGGGAGTGGGCTCAAACTAGGGACACCCAAGGCGCCGTCCTCACCCTGGGACCAGCAGGCAGCAGGCAGTAGGGCGACAGTCAGCAAGCCCACAAGGCAGGCAAGGAGGGCAGTGTGGGCCACTGCTGGGGGTACAATTTTTGCATAGCCTTGAATGCCAGGAAGGGGGTTATGACTGCTTCAAGAATCAGTAGGGAGCCACTGCAGGATCTTGAGCAGGAGAGTGTTGTGAAGAAAATCTATATTCGGGGGATACTAGTTCTAAGGGCAGGATTCTGTAGCAATAAACACTGTGGTGGCTTAACCAATGCCTGGTGCCACCTCCCTGGCCTCCCGTGCGATAGGAGGGTATAACCTGACTGGGCAGGCAGTGGGCTGTAAAGCCCTTGACCCTGCTGCCGCCCAGCGGGACAGGGTCCTTGCACCGGGGTGGGGGTGCTGGACTGGCAGTGACCGGGAGGCCCTGTGTGAGCACTGACCGACCTGACTTTCACACGCAGGGTCCCCCCGGGCCACAGGGCCCCCCAGGGCCCCCAGGGACCCCCGGAGCCAAGGTCAGTACACATGTAGCTGTGTGACCCCCCGCCCTTTGTCTCCCGGGCACGCCTCCCCTCTCCTGTCTGCTGATTCCGCCTTTGCCACTCTCCCCCCACATCCTGGCCTGCCTCTGGGAGCTCAGAGAAAGTGGCCCTGCCCCCTCCTAACCAGGCTGGGTACCTTCTTCTAGGCCTTCGCTGCTCCCTAAAAAGCCTCGTCCACACATGCCAACCCGTAAATCAGCCCCTCCTGCCATCACAAAGTCCTATGGATCACACAGCCGTTCCTACGGCCTCGCCTCACCCTTCACACCCTGCCCACTTGGCTCGGGAGAAAGGGCCCAAGACTTTGAGATCAGGGGTGGTCTGGTTCCAGCTTTCGTCGCTGGGCTGTGTGGCCTGGAACAAGTCATTTAACCCTCCAAGCCTCAACCTCTACATCTGTAACCTACCCACCTATAGATAATAATAGCCCTGGGCTGCATCTGCCCTAGGGACTGAGGAAATGGAGGAGAGGAGAGCGCTGGCTCTGGCACAGAGCTGGGCACCCAGTGGTCACCTTCCTGGGGATCCAACCTCAGGGACCCCGCCTAGGGACAGTGCCCTGGTCGGGAGAGGCAGCCCAGCCACAGACCCCCTTGAAGGACACAGGAACCTTCTCTCACTGTCTGTTCCCTTCCAGGGCGAGCTCGGATTGCCTGGTGCCCCAGGAATTGATGGAGAGAAGGTGGTGTCTGGGCCTTTCATTTCCTTAGTGATGCTGGTGCCTCTGTGTGTGTGTGTGTGTGTGTGTGTGTGTGTGTGTGTGTGTGTGTGTGTGTGTGTGTGTGTGCGCGCGCGTGTGTGTGTGCGCGCGCGCGAGTGCGGAAAACACCTGGAATAGTGCCTGGTGCAGCGCAGCAGAGGAGTCTTCCAATGTTAGTCGTGGTATTTCTGTCATTGTTAATTACTGTGTGAGCCTGCCAAGCCACAGAGTGTCCATGGGTGACACCTGATGTTCGTGGGCCTGTCTTTAGCCCTGAGTGCCCGAGTGTGGCCCACCTTGGACATATGCAGTTGGTCACAGGAGGGATGGACCAGTGGGAAGGGTGGCTGGGTGGATGGTCGGTTCTGTGTGGGTGTTGGGAGCTCCTGAGATGTGAGCATAGGTGGCTGTCCTGTCCCACCCACTCGGCCCTCTGCCCCCACCCCAGCCAGCACCCCTGTGGGCAGTGGGGCAGGCGTGGGGGCCCTCTCCATCTCCACCCAAGTCCTTCAGTGCATCTGCCACCTGGACTGGAGGCAGGACCCACGAGGAGGAAGTGAGGGTCTCGCCCAGCCAGGACTAGGTTCTGGGGACCCACCTGGGTGAGGAGGGGAGAATGCCTACTGAGCCCACTGACTCCCTGTTCTTGTGGCTTCCAGGGTCCCAAAGGACCAAAAGGGGACCCAGGAGAGGCTGGGCCACGTGGACCCAAAGGGGAAGCAGGCGAGATGGGTCTGTCGGGCCTCCCGGTAGGTGGCCGAGCATGCCCTAACCTACTTGCCCACCACAGTCCCAGGTAAACATGTGCCCGCCACTGCAGCTGCTGGGGGCTGGGGCCTGCAGTCTCAGCCCAGCCTGGGTCACCAGGCCTTGGAAAGGAAGCTCTGGCCTCCAACCCTGTGTGGCTCAGACTCTCTCAGCTTCTGTTTCCTCTCCCATAGAAGGACCTGCCACCTGCCTCCCAAGGCTTCTGCAAAGATGAAATCAAGGAGGCCTTGCTGGTGGAGGCAATTAGCAGGCCATTGGGCTGCAGGCTCTGCCTGCCCGAGTTTGCATCCTGCCCATCTTCTACTGACTCCAGGGCCCTGCCCAAGTGTCCTCACCTCTAAATGAGGAGAAAATATCCACGTCCTAGGGGCACACAGACAGCTGAGAATGGTGACTGGCAGGTGGTATATACCCTGTCACTGTCTGTGTGCTCTTACGGCTGCTCAGGGCCTGGTCTGGAGGAGCTTTGGCAGTAAGCGTTCACCAGGAGCCACCACCTCACGGCCACTGTCCATCCAGCCAGAGAGGTGGTGTCGGGTCGTGAATCCCGGTCTTTGCTTCCAGAGCCCCTGGTCACCCGCCCTGCCCCCAGGAAGCAGTTTCACAGCCGTTAATGTGCTCCCCAAATGCCCACTGTGCTGCATTGGGCCGTGATTTGGCGAACGCTGTTTGAAGCTGCTGCTGGGAGCCCTGCGGGGAAGGGAGCTGTGGGTGCCCGTGCTGGCAGACACCAAGGGCTGAATGCCATCCTGTCCTGCAGGGCACCGACGGCCCCAAGGGGGAGAAGGGAGACCCTGCATCCGACAAACTAAAGGAGAGCCTGGTAAGGGGGCTGCAGAGGACTGGGGTCTCCCCACACCACCCAGCCCCGCCAGCCGGAGCCCTGAGCCTCGGGACAGAGGGCCACCCGGCTGACCGGACCGGGCAGGGGGGGAGGGGAGGGATGGGAGCACCTCGGCTACACCTTCCACCCGAGGCCCATCGGAGAACCCAGGAGCCAGTCCCTGGGCCCCCTCCCAGCAGCGCCCTCCTGGGGGCAGAAAGGAGCCTCACCCGGTGGCTCGGGGTCTGGCACCTGTTGGCTCCCCCAACATCCCAGGAGCTCAGGAGTGGGTGGGTGAGATGGGACAGGGCAGTGGGTGACTAATCCACCTCTGACCCCTTCTAGGCCCAGGTCATAGTGGAGCCGGGGCCCCCCGGCCCCCCTGGTCCCCCAGGCCCCATGGTAAGAGTGTTTGGCTTGAAGTAACTGGGACATAAGAGGGTGGTGAGCCCAGGCCCCAGAGCTGTGCCCCAGGGGAGGACAGGATCTCCCTGTGGGAAGGAGGCACATCCTGGGGGAGGGCAGAACCTAAGCTGTGCTGGGGAGCCCCAGAGGCCAGGGCACAGGACCAGTGAGTGCCCTGTAAGCCCTTCCGGCCACTGCAAGAGGGCCCTGGCTCCGAGGCCTGGACCCAGCCCTTGTGGCATTTATGATCCACTCTCTCCTTCTCCAGGGCCTTCAGGGAATCCAGGGTCCCAAGGTGAGTTCTGGGGCACAGGTGGACACCCCCTAGCTCACTGCGAACTCTCAGCCTGGTCGCTTCCGGAAAGCCTGGCTGATGGCAAATGGAGGGTCCCACACTCAGCCCCAAACCGCCCTGTGTGTACCCGGGGCCTGCACATTCCAAGTCCCCCCGAGGGGAAGTCCCCAGGTGCCCGGGGAGCTGGGGCCTCGACCCCCGCACGTGGGGCTCTGCTCTCCTATCACCCTCTCTGTTCTGGGCCCCAGTGCCCTGCCTCCGCCTCCTGGCCCTATGCCTCCCCTTGCTTGCCCCCTTCTCCCACCACTCCCCCGACTGTCTCTCAGCCGACCACAACCTGTACACGACATTTTCGGTTCAGGGTGTATTGCACAATGTCATGTCCTCTGCTCCTAAAGCAGTGAGTGTGGCCTGCCCCAGGCCCAGCACCAGGGACTCCTTGAGACAAAACAAAGGGGCTGCTTCTGGCTCCGTTCTGTCCCAAGAACTTCCCAGATCTTATTTTTGGAAGAGGCCACTGCTGTCAGGAAAGGGCCCAAGGCCGGGGCTCAGAAACCCCACTGGTATTCTGCCCTACCACTTCCCGGCTGTGTGGCTGGGCCTGCCCCTCTTGGGGCCTCTCTTTCCTCATCTGTGAAACAGGTGGGACCATAACCACCTTCCATGATCACTGAGGGAGCCCGTGTGAGGGAAAAGGTAAAATGCAAACGCCCACGGCTCATCCTGATTGTCTGCACAGGAAGGAAGTTGGGAGCAGCCCTGGCAGAGAGACGAGTCTGTCCCTCTGCCCAGCACACCCCACCTCCCACTCAGGCCCCAAGCTTTCCTGTCCTGCTATCTGGCTGACCCCTTCCCCCTGACCGATGTCTCCTCTTTGCCCCCAGGGCTTGGATGGAGCAAAGGGAGAGAAGGGTACGGCAGGCGAGAGGGGTCCCAGCGGCCTGCCCGTGAGTGTCATGAGCCCTGTCTGTCCTTAGAAGCATCAATTTCTGTAACTGTCATGCCTCTTGACCCATTCCTTTTCCATTCAGGGGCCAGCTGGCCCACCAGGCCTTATTGGGCTGCCAGGAACCAAAGGAGAGAAGGTAACCACCCTCCTTTAAAGCTCTCCTAAGTATGGCTGTTACATGTCCATGGCGTCACTCAGCCATGGGGCCCAACCCCTCCACCTCACAAGTGCCAGGGCCAGAATTCAGGCTTGTGGACACTTACAAGGCTGAATTTCCCAGTGCTCCCTCCCCAGCCCCTCACAGCTCTACTCTCTCTCCTCAGGGAAGACCTGGGGAGCCAGGACTAGATGTAAGTACTTCATCCTTCACTGTGATCAGGTATGTTTGACTTGGATGTGACCCCCTTCCCCAAGGCTAGGACTGCAACTGAATGGTCCCCCTGTGTCTCAATTCCAAGTCCAGTTCACAACCCAGAGTAGGTATTGATGGATGGATGGATGGATGTTTGGATGGAAGATGGTTGTTTGGATGGAATATGGTTGGAAGGCTGATGGGTGGATGATGGACAGAGAAATGATAGATGAACAGATGATAGATGGAGGATGAATGGATGCTGGATGGATGTGTGATGAGTGGATGGGTAGATGATGGATTGATGGGTGATTGATGGATGATTGAATGATGGATGGATAGATGGATGGGTAATCAATGATGAATGATGGAAGATGGATGGATTGATGCATCATAGATGGATGGGTGAGTGATGGATGGATGAATGGATGAATGATGGATGGTGGAGGATGATGGGTGGATGAATGGATGAATGGATGGATGAGTGGGTGGATGGATAATGGATCGATGATGAATCATGGATGATGGATGGATAGATGTAGGATGGGTGGGTGGTAGATGGATTGGTGGATGATGGGTGGGTGATGGATGGATGGATAGATGGACGGATAATGGGTAGATGACAAATGATGCAGGATGGGTGGGTGATGAATGGATTGATAGATGATGGATGGATAGATGTAGGATGGGGGGATAGATGGATTGATGGGTGATGGATGGATTGATGGATGATGGATGGATAGATGTAGGATGGGGTGATAGATGGATTGATGGGTGATGGGTGGATTGATGGATGATGGGTGGATAGATGTAGGATGGGGTGATAGATGGATTGATGGGTGATGGATGGATTGATGGATGATGGGTGGATAGGTACATTTGTACCATGGGGTTTTAATTTATGGAGGTAACAGAATGATGACACAGAGGCCAATGCCTTTGAAAGAAGACTGTATTACATTTCCTGAGAAAAGGGTACCCACCACACTATGCAGGGCCACATGGGGAAGCACCAGGTTTGGCTGGGAGGCAGAGAGGAGTAGAAGAAAGCCTGCCTTACTGGGTTTTCCTCAAGGAAGGCAAGGAAGGCAGAGTGAACAATTTAGGATTGGAGGAATATGGTGGATGGATGCATGGGTGATTAACGGATGGGTGGACAGATGGAAGGATGCTTGATGGGTAATGGATGGATTGATAGATGATGGATGGAGGATGGATGGATGATGCATTGGAACAGGAAGGTGAGGAGAGCAGTGAAGAGCCTGCTGCAATATTCTGGTGAGAAATGATGAGGCTTCAGCTAAGGCAGAATTATAGGAAGAAGAGGATGGAAAGTGTTAGCCCAGTGTTGATTGAATCAAGTGTCTTTCAGTTGCAAGAAATAGAAAACCATTTAAGGTAGTTTGAACTGACTCATAACTGAAAAATCCAGAGGCACATGGATCCAGGAATGTGTCCACACAGCCCGGCCTCTCCCACTCTCTTGTCTCTGCTTCCTCTGTGTGGGCATCATTCCAAGTTCCATGTGGTGATGAGATGGAACCAACAGCCCCAGGCCAAATCCTGGAGAATGACTATTCACTCACTCTCTACTCTTCTGGGAAGTCTCATCAAATCTCATTGACCCCGCTTGGGTCAAAGCTGAAACATCCCTCAGCCACAGGAATGCAGCACCCTGATGCACCCTGGTTGGCCAGGCCTGATCGCCTGCTGTGTCCTGGAGCTGGGGGTGGAGCCCGTGGATTGTGAGATGAGAGAGTGATTCCTAAGAGAATCAGGCAGCTATTGCAAAGGGAATGGTGACCAGATGCATGGACTGTGTCCACCCTTGACCTAAGGAGAAATGTCACCTTGGAGAGCAGCTGTGGACACAGAAAAGAAAGCAGTCTAGCTTGAGTTTCCACCCTGGGGAAAGTGTTCCATCAAGGAGAAGGGTTAGGAGAAGAAAACAATGCTGAATCCAGTTCAGGCCCTGGGCCCAGGGAGGTAGTGGGTGACACTGAAAAGAGTCCTTGCCACCAGCAATGTGACCACACCTGCCTTCTTGGAGCCCTGGAGCTCAGAGTGACATCTCAAAGCCATGCCCACCTGCTCTTCCTGGCAAACTCCTGGCCTCACATCCACTCCACCAGGCACAGCTGAAGAGGGGAGTCTTAGAAGCCTTCCCTGACTTCACACCTGGCCAGAGCAGCCCCTCTCCCTGGGACTCCATGGCACCTGGTTCATACCCCTGTCACTGAGCATTGATCATCAACCTCTGTACCCCATTTCCTGCCATGTTAGACTGTGAGGGCAGTGTACATTTGTACCATGGAGTTTTAATTTATGGAGGTAACTGAGCGATGACAGAGAGGCCAATGCCCTTGAAAGTAGAATGTATTACATTTCCCGAGAAAAGAGGACCCACCACGCTAGCAGGGCCACATGGGGAAGCACCAGGTCTGGTTGGGAGGCAGAGAGGAGTAGAGGAAAGCCTGCCCTACTGGGTTTTCCTCAAGGAAGGCAAGGCAGGCAGAGTGAACAATGTAGGATTGGCTCACTTGAGCAATCCTGGTGGGCTCCAGGCTATAGGGTGGTCTCTAGTGTCCTGGTACTTGGCCCTGGGATGACTTTGAACAGTGAAAGTATGGTCTTGGTGTATGAGAGGTAGATAGAAAGGGTGGCTGGGAGGATTGGGTGGTTTCCATATGAAAGGTATGCACCCAAACTAGCTCTTTGTTATCTCTAAGAATTGGCTGCCCCTGAGAAGGACAGACTCTCCCCAACCAGAAAATTTTTTAGGATACAGAAAATACAAAACATAAAAAGAAGAAAACACATCAAATCTGTTTCTCTGTGCCCAGCATCCAGCCCATAGCTCAGTTCCTAATAGATTCTTAGAAATGTTGGTTGAACAGATGGATGGACTGGTGGGTGGGCGAACAAGAGACTGAGCCAAGCAGAGAACATCTTGGCCCGTCAAAGATGGTGACTAAACTTCCATGGGTCCCTGTCCCCAGCCAAGCCTTGGGCTGGTGCTAGCTGTATTTGTGACATGAGGGAAAGCCCTTGCTAGCTGCTCTGCCTGAGGGCTTTTGTCCAGAGACACCAAAACCGGTGCACTGCAGAGGAAGCTAAATCACGCCTCTCCCCAAATCAGCCTCGCACCCAGCACGCCGTCACCTGGGGTGGGCTGGGCCAGCTTGCACCATGACTATGCGTGGAGGAAGGGGTGGCCTGAGCGGAAGAGGAGCAGAGACAAGCAGGTAACAGGAGCAAACTTCAAACTCATTTTCGGGTTTAACGTTCATTCCCTTTGTCAGGGTTTCCCTGGACCCCGAGGAGAGAAAGGTGACAGGAGCGAGCGCGGAGAGAAGGTGGGGTGGCAGAAAAGGACGTGGGGGGCAAAGAGAGGGGGCCGAGAGAAGGGGAGTGGGTTGAGGCTGGGATGAGGGCGGCAGGGCAGGGACCATCTCTGTGGGAGGCGTGGGGGGGTCCTGGGCCCGGTAGGGTAGCTGTGCCCATACCACTACATCCCTCCTTGCACAGGGGGAGCGAGGTGTCCCCGGCCGGAAAGGAGTGAAGGGCCAGAAGGGCGAGCCAGGACCGCCAGGCCTGGACCAGCCATGTCCTGTGGTACGTGTCCCAGCAGGCTGGGAGCCCCAACCCAGGTCTTTGCCAGTATCTTCCTGTCCTCAGAGCTCAGTTGCAAGTTCCAGAGACCACACTGACCCCACGCGGGGGCCTCACACTGCTGGGACCACCACTGATGTCACTGCAGTCACGGAGGCTCCTCTTTCTCTGGTCCTGGTTCCCCCACCCCATGGGCCTGACTGAGGGACCCACCCCCCTCTAGAGATGGAGGCCTGGTTGTGGACAGAGTCCATTTGCCCGGATCATGCCCTCTACTCAGCCTCCTTGGCCTGAATGGCGGTTGGCAAACGCTTGCCTATCTCCCTGCGTGTTTGTACCATCTGGATCCAGAAGAGGCTCTGCTGGGCAGTGGGTGCACCACCCTGCTTACATTGCCTCCATGCCCCAAGCACCCCCTGGGTCCCCACAGCCTTCCTCCTTGCCTGCCTGCCACAACAGCCTAACAGCCACCAGACCACAATTCAGTTCTTTTTCCAGAAGATAGGGGGGAATCACATACCAAACTCTTCCACGGAATCTCAGAAGACAGAAAAAAAACAGAATAGCTGAGTTTCCATACTAAAACTAACCAGATTGTCAAGGGCCAACCCTTCCATAAGGTGTGTGTCCACCTTCCAAAGGGGGTCAGAGCCAGGGGTCCCCCAGGCCCAGTCCTCCGTCCGTTGGTCTCCTATCCACGCAATGAAAACAAGACATGAGACGCAGAGCAGAAAGCATGTCCCAAAGCACCAGGACAGCAAGGGGACAAGGTGGCCTGGCCTCACAGCGTTAGGCCCTGGGCTGAGAAGTCCCTCCGCGTCATTCAGCCTTCTTCTTTGAAACAGGAGAATCCTAAATGCGGAGGCAAGCGAGGGGCGCCGGGCTCCAGGGGCCTGGCACGGGGCAGCGGGCTCTGCCCTGTGGTATGCAGTCTGGCCTGCTGTGTGCTGTGCTGGGCATTGGGGGCTGCCTGTGCCCACTGCTGTGCCCCCGCCCTGCCTCTCCAGCCCACTCCCTCTGGCCCCGGCCTGTGCCCCGCTGGCTGCATGGGAGTTCGGGGGGCCGCGCTCCCGCATGTCTCGAGTGTGCTTCCAGAGTGCAGTGCTCCCCACCCTGGGCTCCCCGGGGCTCTCGACTCTACAGCCTCAGTCAGCCTTTGACCCTCTCCAGCCCCACCCCTCCCCGGGGCACCTGAGGAAATCTGGACCCCCTACTTATGTCTGATTCCTGCTGCCTCCAGACACCCCCTACCCCTTCACTCCCGCCCTGCCCCCAGTTTCTACCCTGACGGCTTCAGCCCGCCCTGTCTGCCACTCAGATCCAGATACAGGGACTAGGCCAGGCCGGAGGGGGACCCCACTTCCTGGACTGTCCTTCAAACACTCTTAGAGATGTGCCTGAAAGCTCACAGGCCCCCAGTGCGAAGGGCCAGAGCCACTGTCACAGATGCTGGGCAGGAAGCCACGCTGCCCCCTGGCAGGGCCAGGCCCTGCTCCTTGGCAGGTGGATGTCCAGCACAGTGCCCAGCACTCCAGTGTCCTGGTTCTGCCCACTGCATGCTTGTCCCATCAGAGACACTCCGAACAAGTCACAGTAAGGGGCCATCATGTTCTGTGACCTGGCTACCCAGGTGGACGGGCCAGGCATCCAGGCACTGCCTCAGTGGGGTCCCGTGAGCCCACAGGGCCACTCTCTGGGCCGCACCCTCCTACAGCCAGGGCAGGAGGATGTGGGGTGTATAGAGCTGACCAGCCACCTAGCCCCATCACTGAAACCTTTTTCCTTTGCAGGGCCCCGACGGGCTGCCCGTGCCTGGCTGCTGGCATAAGGTATTTTGCAGGGAAGAGCCTTCGGGCAGGCTGGGAGGTGGGGACAGCCTTGGGGACAAGGTGTCTGCAGCAACCAGGGCAGTGACTGAAGAGCCAGGTTTCCCATGATGGCCCTGTTTTTGCCTCTCTCGTCATGTGGCCCAGGGCTTGGGACTGTGGTCCCGGGGGATTGTGTGAGGCCCACCCCACTGGTCCTCTAGGGCTCGTTCAGAACCTGCCCCAGGCAGTGCAAAGCCATCAGCATCCTCCGAGACTTCTGTACTTCCCCCTGTCAAAGGGGGCTGGAAGCCAGGAGATGAGGACAGGGAGACACCTCCTTCCATGGGCATGGGGGGTGGGGACGCGGGGAACTGCCCAGGCTGAGGGAGGGGCCTCTGCGGCTTCACAGCCTCCTCCTCACCTTCAGCTTTTCCTTCTTTTCCAGTGATCCCAGGCCCCAGCTCACAACCTATACAGATCCGTGTGGACGTTTTTAATTTTTGTAAAAACAAAACAGTAATATATTGATCTTTTTTCATGGGATGCAACATCTGTGGACTTTTAACATTTGAGAGTCTGCCCGGCCCAGCCCTGGAATGATCTGCATGTGAAGCAGGCGGAAGAGGATACACGCCGATCGGGGAGAACTGTGTACTTGGGGGGCACGTGCAGGACTTGGCTTTCCCTGGAGGGAGACGAAGGTGGAAGTGCCCGGCTCAGGAGAGGCTGCAAAGACGCCTGCCAGCTTGGGCCTCAGTCACCTGATTAGCAGAGGGAATCTGGCCACCCCACAGCCCTGCAAGAGCCTGTCCCTGAAGCTCCAGACCCCCGGGGCCCACCTCATCCAAAAAGGCAAAGGCTTGGACAGCTGATGCAGCTGCCCCCAGCTTCCCTGGCCTCTGGCCTCAGCCTCAGCCACAGCCAGCTTCCCACCCGCAGGACCCTCTGGTACTGGATTCACCAGGGCAGGACAAGACTCCTGCCCAGCACAGGCCACAGGACGCTGGAAGCTGTGGGAAGCGCCCCAGGTGGATCTAGTTCCCACCAAGTTCAGTAGGCCTCCAGAAGCCAGCCTGCCATGAGAACACCTGTCCTCTGGCCCCAAGTAGATGCCAAGCACTGTGATTGCCAACACATGGACCAGGGAGCCCTGTGATCTCTAAGTTTGGAGGACAGCAGGTCCTCGATGGAAGTGGCTGCTGCTCCCTGTCTCCATGCCACCCATAGCAGAGATGTGATGGGACTACGCCAGCCCAAGGAGGCGTGCCTCCAGCTCTGAGTTTGGGTCTCACAGGCTGCAAGTGTCCCACGCAGAACTGGCCAGCCTTCCAGAAATGGTGTGCGTGTGAGCCGTGAGACAGAGCCTCAGGGCTGGTACCTGGCCGACCTGGGCATGGGCCTGCAACCTAAGCAGCCAGTGCACTAAGGAGAGGCATCCCCACCTCTGTCTGACAAGGGTTCCCAGCCACCAGCTCCAGTCCAGCTACTTGCCTCCCTTCTGTGTAGATGGATGTCGCTGAGTGTAATAAACCACCCATGTGTGTCCTGGTGTGCCTGTCCTTGCAGACTGCCCCTGAGCACCTCTGGTGAGGCTCCGGCCTTGATGTCCCAGCTGGTGAGGTTCAAGTTGGATAGAGAGGGACAAGGGGACCCTCCCTGATTTAGAGTCACCCACAAACCAAGGGAAGTAGTTCAAGGACAGGGCAAAGATGGGGTTTGGAGTCAGAAAGACAGACTCAACGTCTGGCCCTGCCGTATACCAACTGAGCCCTCTGTCCAGTCACACATGTGTAATCCTCTGATCCAGGGACTGCTGCATAACAAATCACCCCAAAAGTGTTCCTTAGAACAATGACCCTTTCTACTTCTCTTATGGTTCTGGGGGGAATGAGCTCAGCTGGGTGGTTATTGCTCAAGCCCTCTCCCCTGCACCTGGCGGCTGATGTTGGCTGGCAGCTGGGATCTCAGAGGGCCAGAACACCTCTTATATGTGGTCTGGGCTTCCCCAAAGCATAGCTGCGAGATTCCTAGAGTGAATGTCCCCCATGGACGCTGTCACCTTTTATGGCCAAGCCTCAAAAGCCATATGGTATCACTTCCTGTCCAAATCAGAGGTCCACCCTAATTCAAGGGAAAAGTGTCAACATCATATTGCAAGGAGAAAATGTGGGATAGTAGATCTTGTTACAGCCATCTTAGAAAATTTAACCTGCCAGCTCATCTGTAAAATGGGATAGTGATGCTTACACTCAGACCATGATTTAATAAGAACTGAATGCTTGGGGTGAATGAAGAACCTAGGACAGGGCAGGCACCTGCAGGCACCCATGGTTCTGAGTGCCCTCTCCTCCCCAATCCAACACTGAGCAAGGCCACAGTCGTGCAGAGCGTTTCTACGTCTCTCATCCCTTAGAATGACCCTGAGAACATGCCCGTTTCACAGATGACAAAACCAAGGACATTCAGTAGTGTAGACAAGGAGGGGCTTGCAGTGATGGTATCTCGGGCCTTCAGCCTCCAAGGACTGTGGCCTCAGGAGGCCACAGCCTGGATAGTCCCCCCAGACCCTGCCACACAGCCTCCTCACTGAGCAGAAGAGGCCCAGGCACACCCTGGCTAGAGGAGGAATGCGTGCCCACCTCTGTCTCCCTGAGTTGCTGCTCCACCAGGCATGTGGATCGCCAGGGACACAGTAGTGCGAGAAGGAAGAGCCACATGGGGGCTGTGATGACTGATGGCGATCTCTTTGGAGGCCCAGCATAACCTCACAACTCCGCTGTAGTTTGGAACTCACCCCTCCCTCCACCCGGGTACCTCCCAGGCTCCCCTCCCCAGCCCCGTGAAGGATGGAGCTTCTTGACTGGTATCAGTATCTCCACTTTACATATGAGGAAACAGGCTCTGAGGGGTTAGTCACCTGCCCAGGGATAGGGTGGCAGGCTTGGGAATGGACCTGGACCCTTAGATACCCTCCAGTTTGTCTTTCTGAAATTGCTTGGCAGGGCGTGGAATCTGCTAAGCAGTGCCAGGATGCTGGGTGATGGGCAGGCAGATCGTCATGGAGGTAGAAGCCACACGTTGCCCATCCTCTAGACTTCTGAGGGGGTCCCTCTCCTACTCCTTTGGATAGGACAAGGCCATTTGTAGCCCACTGCTGCCCCCTTGTGGCTTCATACGATGTATCTTCAGGTCCACAAACCACAATTTCAGAGCCTGCGGAGTCCTCAAGGGCTTTGGGGTGGGGGCAGGGGACTCAGGATGAGTGGTGAATAACTGGCCTCAGATCCCAGAGGACACGGGGATGCCCTGCCTCACAGCTGAGCCCCAAGGACTAAGGGCCTCACGTCTCCCTGACACAAAGGACGCCTCTGCCTCAAACTAGCCCCTTCTAGAAGAGGGCCCCACTGTGCGCCATGGCAGCCAAACTAATTACAAGGATTACTGTCCCCTTTTGCCGATGATTCTGAGGCCTGAGAGGAATGGGCTTTGGGCTTACGCAGGTCTCCCTCCTCCTGATCCCTAGGATACTGCTAGAAAGGCACTGGCTGCTGAGGGCTGCCAATATGATTGAGGGCACTGGTGGCATTCAGTGAGCAGAGCCAGGGAGAGTAAACATCCGAAACACACGGACAGTACTGCCCACCAATAATCGTCTCACTGCCTGAATCGAGAAACACCATGCCCTGGTTCAAATCTTAGCTCAGCCGCTTCCCATCCCCTGCCCTCTTGGCCTCTGATGGCACCGCAAAGGCCGGCATGAGATGACAGACAGAGCAGTGCTTAGCATGGGGCCATAGGAAGGAGGAGTGGGCCTGTCTGAGCCGGAAGAAGGGAGGATTCCTGGTGGTGTCCTGTCCCAAACGTGGGTCCCAAACAGGACTCCCAGACTCCTCCCACCACACGCACATGCACAGACACACACGAAGCACACGTTACATTAATTTCACATTCATCTTATTCAGCAAGAAACTCCATTCAGTTTGGAAAGATGAATAAGTTCTGTAGATGGATGGTGGTGATGGTTGCACAACGTGAACGTACTTAATGCCACTAAGCTATACTCTTTAAAACGGTGAAAATGGTAAATTTTACATTATGTATATACTACCATGTATGTATATTGTTAAAGAACTCCAATGCTCTTTAATAAATGCCTTAAGCATTTTACAGTTGTTTGAAGGAAGACCAGAAGAAATTAGCAGTGAGAGAGCAAGCACAGAGCTGAGAATCATGAAGAGAAGACAGAAGGAAGGACAGCAGGAGTCTCCCCTTCTCCAGCATGACCCCAACTCAGGCTGCAACCCCAGGCCCTTGTTTAGGGTATCATCAAAGCCAGAGAGTCCCCAGGACCCCACCCCAGGAGGGGTTCCCTCTCTGCTATCCCAACTTCCCAGCCCCTTGGGGGCAATTTCTTCTCACTCACTGGGCTGGGAGTCAGGCAGATCTGGGTCCAGCCTCGGCTGTGCACTTGCTGTGTGTCTGGGAGCAATGCCGTTTCCCTTTCTGGGCCTCAGTTTCGCGGCCACTACAAGGTTCAGGCAACTCTCTTCCTGTGGAAATGCTGCAAGATTGTCTTAGCATCAGTGTTTCTCGTGCTCACCCAGCGTGGGGTCCAGTAGGAGTCATGCTGCCCTAATGAGGTGGGGCAGGGACATGGGACAAGCATCACGATTAACTTTTCCTGCCTATGATGAAAAATGCTGAGATATGAACAGTATGGTAAGAACAGGAGGGAACCCAATCTTAAGGCTAAGATTCCATTTTAAAAAGAGAATCGAGAAGTAAGATTCCTAACACAGTCTCTGGTAATCCGACAATAACCCAACAGCCTCTCTTAGGGCAGAGCAAGCAGTCCTAACTGATATGTCCCCATTACTTGAGGGTAACCACTATCTTGCAGAAGAATAGGATTAAAAAAAACATCCCTTGTGCTAGTTTTTTAGCAGAATTAGCTGAAGGACTGATAATAAAGGAAAGAAGACATGGTGTCTCTCTTCAGAGATAAGCACCTTGAGACCATAAGCCAAGCCTACTCCCAACAACCTCCCCTCAGCCCTTTGCATTCTTGAAAGCCTTAAAAGACAGAATCCCCAAACTTTCAGCGTGCCTTCTTTGAGGACACCTGCACTTTCCCTTAAGTGCATACTTTCAAATGAAGCTTTCTCACTGCTCAGATAATTGCGGTTTGTCTCTTTGCTATTTCATTTTATTTCCAAGTCTTCACTCGGCTCTGCTTTACTCCTAATAAGTATCCACAAACCACAATTTCAGAGCCTGCGGAGTCCTCAAGGGCTTTGGGGTGGGGGCAGGGGACTCAGGATGAGTGGTGAATAACTGGCCTCAGATCCCAGAGGACACGGGGATGCCCTGCCTCACAGCTGAGCCCCAAGGACTAAGGGCCTCACGTCTCCCTGACACAAAGGACGCCTCTGCCTCAAACTAGCCCCTTCTAGAAGAGGGCCCCACTGTGCGCCATGGCAGCCAAACTAATTACAAGGATTACTGTCCCCTTTTGCCGATGATTCTGAGGCCTGAGAGGAATGGGCTTTGGGCTTACGCAGGTCTCCCTCCTCCTGATCCCTAGGATACTGCTAGAAAGGCACTGGCTGCTGAGGGCTGCCAATATGATTGAGGGCACTGGTGGCATTCAGTGAGCAGAGCCAGGGAGAGTAAACATCCGAAACACACGGACAGTACTGCCCACCAATAATCGTCTCACTGCCTGAATCGAGAAACACCATGCCCTGGTTCAAATCTTAGCTCAGCCGCTTCCCATCCCCTGCCCTCTTGGCCTCTGATGGCACCGCAAAGGCCGGCATGAGATGACAGACAGAGCAGTGCTTAGCATGGGGCCATAGGAAGGAGGAGTGGGCCTGTCTGAGCCGGAAGAAGGGAGGATTCCTGGTGGTGTCCTGTCCCAAACGTGGGTCCCAAACAGGACTCCCAGACTCCTCCCACCACACGCACATGCACAGACACACACGAAGCACACGTTACATTAATTTCACATTCATCTTATTCAGCAAGAAACTCCATTCAGTTTGGAAAGATGAATAAGTTCTGTAGATGGATGGTGGTGATGGTTGCACAACGTGAACGTACTTAATGCCACTAAGCTATACTCTTTAAAACGGTGAAAATGGTAAATTTTACATTATGTATATACTACCATGTATGTATATTGTTAAAGAACTCCAATGCTCTTTAATAAATGCCTTAAGCATTTTACAGTTGTTTGAAGGAAGACCAGAAGAAATTAGCAGTGAGAGAGCAAGCACAGAGCTGAGAATCATGAAGAGAAGACAGAAGGAAGGACAGCAGGAGTCTCCCCTTCTCCAGCATGACCCCAACTCAGGCTGCAACCCCAGGCCCTTGTTTAGGGTATCATCAAAGCCAGAGAGTCCCCAGGACCCCACCCCAGGAGGGGTTCCCTCTCTGCTATCCCAACTTCCCAGCCCCTTGGGGGCAATTTCTTCTCACTCACTGGGCTGGGAGTCAGGCAGATCTGGGTCCAGCCTCGGCTGTGCACTTGCTGTGTGTCTGGGAGCAATGCCGTTTCCCTTTCTGGGCCTCAGTTTCGCGGCCACTACAAGGTTCAGGCAACTCTCTTCCTGTGGAAATGCTGCAAGATTGTCTTAGCATCAGTGTTTCTCGTGCTCACCCAGCGTGGGGTCCAGTAGGAGTCATGCTGCCCTAATGAGGTGGGGCAGGGACATGGGACAAGCATCACGATTAACTTTTCCTGCCTATGATGAAAAATGCTGAGATATGAACAGTATGGTAAGAACAGGAGGGAACCCAATCTTAAGGCTAAGATTCCATTTTAAAAAGAGAATCGAGAAGTAAGATTCCTAACACAGTCTCTGGTAATCCGACAATAACCCAACAGCCTCTCTTAGGGCAGAGCAAGCAGTCCTAACTGATATGTCCCCATTACTTGAGGGTAACCACTATCTTGCAGAAGAATAGGATTAAAAAAAACATCCCTTGTGCTAGTTTTTTAGCAGAATTAGCTGAAGGACTGATAATAAAGGAAAGAAGACATGGTGTCTCTCTTCAGAGATAAGCACCTTGAGACCATAAGCCAAGCCTACTCCCAACAACCTCCCCTCAGCCCTTTGCATTCTTGAAAGCCTTAAAAGACAGAATCCCCAAACTTTCAGCGTGCCTTCTTTGAGGACACCTGCACTTTCCCTTAAGTGCATACTTTCAAATGAAGCTTTCTCACTGCTCAGATAATTGCGGTTTGTCTCTTTGCTATTTCATTTTATTTCCAAGTCTTCACTCGGCTCTGCTTTACTCCTAATAAGTAGGAAGGGCTACTTGCTAAGAGCTCAGATTTGGGCCTGCATGTTTCTGTCACCTGGGTAACCTGCACAGAACTGCCGCTGTGCGATCTGCTCTTAGTAGCCTGCCTAAAATCTCCTTCCGTAAGTTCTCAGAACATAATCATACGCCATCCTGTGCTCTGTGGCTCCCCCAAATCCTGGGGTGGTAGGGGCTAGTCCCCATGCGTGCATATCCAGGAGGACACAGGATGCCAGGTGACCCTGGCTTCAGGAGCTGGCAAGGGAATCTGCCCTAAACCGAAAACTTTCCCTCTGCACTTTCCTGTTCTCTGCTACCTGCAAGACAGCTGCCATTCCCTGATGCTACTGCTTTAATGAATTCCTTCCTTACCTACACTCGTCTGACCTGTTCGAGAATTCTTTCTCGCCCAGAGTCAAGAACCCTGCCCCATCCGGGTTGAGGTTTATCCTAGTGCTTCACCTAATGAAGAGGGAGAGGCCTCCCCAGACGCAGCTGCCCGGCAACACTAAGGTGGTGCTCACGACGTCCTCAGCGCCAGCGGTGGCCCTGCCCGCCCCTTCTGCCCTCTCGCTGCTGCTCCTCGGGGCTGAAGCCCCAGGTCCGGCCCCCGCGTCGACAATCGCTTCTCGTACCCGGAGGCCCCTGCCGCGCACCAAGCCTGGGCTGGGCGCCTCCCGTCTTAGGAATGGGGAAGGCGACTCAGACAGCATCAGCCCCAAGCTAGAGCCCCACTGGGGAGCGGGAGCAGCGGCAAGGGTGCCCGCGAACCTCCCGGGGGAGGGAGACTGCAGGGGCCCGTAGGGCGAGGCCCAAGGGGCTGACTGGGACCCGGCCGCAGACCGCGCTCAGTGGGGCGGGCCCAGGACACGCCCCCGCACTGCGATTTCCCAGGAGTGCCGCGGGGCGGGGAGTTGCCCCGACCGCGGGACGAACCACTGAGCGAACGCGCAGGGCGCCCGTGGGGGCGGGGCCCGCGGGAGCCCCGGGCGCGGGGGGCGGGGCCTCGGGGCCGGGCGCGCGGAGGGCTCCCGGCCGCGTCCCCGCGCGTCTGCGGCCCGGCGTCATGGCCGCCGACCGGCGCGGGAAAGCCGCGACCCTGGCCCTGAGACGGCGGCTGCTCAGGTACCGCGACGGCCGCGCGCGCGCACTCCCGGCGAGAGCCGCGGCCCCGGGGGTGCCAGCCCGCCCCGGAGCCTCTGACCCCTGCCCGCCCAGCGGCCGCCGCCGCCTGGCTGCAAGCGGCTTTTGCTCCGGGGGGAAGGCCTCTGCCCGGGCAGGAGGAGAGCGCCGCCCAGTGGCGACTCCTGAGAGGCCCCGGAAAGGGACTGAAAGTTACCGAGGCGGGGTGGGGGTTTGGGGCAACCTTGGAGAAAGTCTGCCCAGACCTGTGAGCGGGCCCTCGTGGGCGTGAGGCAGCCTCGGCTGGAGCTTTGGGCTGGCACCCGGCAGGGCCGCCGGGCTGGCAAGGAACATTTAAGGAGGGGAGCCAGGCAGCAGTGGGGGTGCCCTCCCTCCATCCGTCCCGGCAAGGAACACTGCCGTAAGGGGCCCCCGCGAATCGAGGCAGCCACCTTTTCCCTAGATCCAAGGGGCTCATGTGGGCGCGGCCACCAAGACCTCAAATAGTGGCCTGAGAAAGTTTTAGCAACTTCTCCGCCCCTTTCCTCCTTTCCAACCACCTATGTCGTGGAGGGCCTGGAAGCAGGGAAGCAACACTGTGCCTTTCAAGCTTTCGTCCTTTCCAGAAACTGGAAAGGGGTGGGAGTCCGGTGGATGGACTTCTTCGGCTCCTCAGACGTGGCAGTCCACCCCTTGCCTGTTCCCCCAGCTCTTCCTGCAGGCTCTTTTTTCCTGAGGATCCTATTAAGATTGTCCGGGGCCAAGGGCAGTACCTGTACGATGAACAGGGCGCAGAATACATCGATTGCATCAACAATGTGGCTCACGGTCAGTGTAACGCCTGGGGCTGGTGAGGGAGGGGAGGGGCCGAGGCTGAGAACCCGGCCCAGGGGGGGTCCTGAGGTGGCAGAGACGCGTGGGGAGCTTGGATTTTTCTGAGCAGAGCAGGCCTAGCCTTTCTGGTATGAAGTTTCCAAGCTGTAGCTGTGCTAAACTAGGCAGCAGTCAGGGACATAGGTCTGGGGGTCCACTCCATTTAGGACTGATGGCGAGCTCAGAGAGCAGCATCTGGCCAGCTGTGAACAGCAACACAGAAGGGCCATGGCCAAGTATTGGGGGGTCATGACAGGGATTCAGCCCAGGGCCTATCTCAGGTGCTGGGCAAGGAAGCTGAAGTAGGAATTCATTTATGCAGGTGGGGCCGCCAGAGCTGATGGAAGGAAATGAGGCCCACGACTCAGCAGATGAACTGGAAATTAAAAGTGGGCTCTAGTCCCAGACTGCCTGAGTTCATATTCCCTGTCCTCCATTTACTTTGTGATCTTGGAAAGTTACCTAGTTCTCTGTGCCTGTCTGCTCATCTTCAAAACAATCATGACAATACTAGGTACACACCTCAAGGTGTTTTGGACAATTAGGTGAATTAATTCAAGTAACCTGGTCTGTATGAGCTCTCAGCATGTGTTCACTGTGAAAATGCCCCCCACCATCTCCCTCCACTGAATCCCCATTGACCAGGGTTATGGGTCAGGCTGGGGGAGGCCTGGTGGGATCAGCAGAGGGAAACCAGCTTAGTAATGGGTGTGGCACTCTTCCAGTGGGGCACTGCCACCCTCTTGTGGTCCATGCGGCACATGAACAGAACCAAGTGCTCAACACCAATAGCCGATACCTGCACGACAACATCGTGGATTACGCGCAGAGGCTGTCAGAGACCCTGCCAGAGAAGCTCTGTGTGTTTTATTTCCTAAATTCTGGGTAAGTGGACTGCAGCCAGCCCCTGGAGGAGGGTGATATAGCAAAGAAGAGTTGCTCACATGGGCACAGTGTAGTGTGGACGTTGGAAGAGGCGGCCCTCAATGGGCCAGGTGTCCGCACTTCCCTGTGAAGACCCTGTTGCTCACTCTGTGGGTCCAGTTTCCTGGCCTCTTAGTAAGGGATACTATTACCTCCCTTTTCAGACTGTTGGGACCTTTCAAAGGTAATATGTTCCTTTATTTCTGCTTATGAATACACAGGCCCACCTGGGGGCTACAACCAAGACCCCTGCCCTCAGGTTGCTCAGTAAGGAACAGAACATCAGGTGCTTCTTCACAGAAACCCAAAATGACCAAGAGGGACCATCGTCTGCAGGAAAAGTGCAGGGTATAATGACTCATAGAAGCTGTGGGGAGCCCTCTCCTGCTCTGAGAGAGCCAGGGGGGCTCCCTGAGGAAGTGATGGTAGACTCGGTGCTGATGGGGAGATAGCTAGATGAGGAGGAGGGGAGGGTGCCACCCATGCCATCCTGAGTGTTCCTGTCAAGGCTGTCACCACACCCAACAGCCCGTAGGAAGGCCTTGCAGCAGGAAAGGGCCCAGCAACTGAACACCGGAGGACCTGAGGGAAGGCCAGTGGGGCAGGGGAGCGGGTGGGAGCTGACACCAAGGAGGGAGGCAGGGCCTTACCAGCCGAGTGAGGAATCTGTATCCTAAGATCATTAGGAACTATCAGAGGGTTTTAAGCAGGCACAATGGCATCAGGACTGGGAATAGCCACCCTTAGGCAGCAGCTCAGTGGCCAGGTGACAGGGACCAGTAGTAGTTCACTGGAAGTGGCAGTGGAGACAGAACCAGCCCAGCATGCCTGGGAGAGAACATCGCAATGAGCAGTAGGCTGTGGCATTTGGATCCTAGTAATGATTGTCACTGTCATCATTGCTCTTTATGCAGCACGTGCCTCAGTTCCCCTGGTAATTTCTAGGAAGTGGGATTTTCCACCCTCGTTTACAGATAAGGAAACAGCAGTTCAGAGACAGGAACTAGCTTGTCCAGGGTCACGCATGTATGAAGTGGCCAAGCCAGAACCGGAGCCTCCAGGGAAAGGCAGACCACTGGGCTCAGGAGTCGCGGTTCCCTCAGCAGGGGAGGGTGGCATGTTCTCTGGCTTGCTCCGCCAAGTTGACTCTGAGTTCCAGTGGCTCCCATGTTCTCTTTCCTGCAATGGTCTGGCTCTGTCTCTCAGTAATGTTGGCAGTTACCACTCTCTGGAAATGCCTTTAGGCTTGCTGCAAGGACACTGCATGCTCCTGGTTTTCCACCAGCTTCTGGCTGCTCCTCCTCTGTCTCCTTTGCCAATTCCTACCCCTCTGTTCCTCAGGGCTGGTCCTGGGGCATGGTCTCTCTCCCTACCTGATCTCATCCATTCCCATGGGCTTACATACCATCGACGTGCTGGCCACTCCCAAATTTGTGCCTCAAGCCCAGATGCTTCCCCTTTGTTCCAGCCCAAAGGTTCCAACCACCCACTTGACTTCTGGAACATCTCTGACTTCACATGTCCAAAAGACAAATGAGAGTTGATTGATTATCTTCTGACGGCCCCTGGTGTGGGATCATGGCACTGGCTGTCCCTGACACTGCTGGGCACCTATCCAGAGCTTCCAGAAACTACCTCACTCTTTCTCGCCTCAACTACCTGTGTCCTGCAGAGAGATGCGGAGGGAGCAGGGGGCCCTGCCAGCAGCAGGAAGATTCTCCAGGCACCATTCATTGAGTCATTTGCTCTTTGTTTGGTAAAAATTTATTAAACACTTTCTCTGTGCTAGGGGCTGGGGGCAAAAATAGTAAGTGAAACAGCCTCTGGCCCTTCTGGAACTTATATCCTAGTATGTGTCATGAAAGCCAAAAAACAAAGAAGGAACTGTCATTTTGATACATGCCCTAAAATCATTGGACAGGACCTATCTTAGATAAGTAGGAGTATGGACTGAACTGTGTTCCCCAAAACTCATGTTGCGACTACCTGTGTCCTGGGGGGACACAGATCCCCCCAACTACCTCACTCTTTCTCGCCTCACGGATGCAGCACCATCTGCATCTCTGCTCAAGGCAGAAGTGCCCTTCCCAGCCCTGCATGATGCGCCTCATCCACCTGCAGGCGATCTCCCACCTGTCTACCTCTCCATCCCCATGACCACCACCTGCTCTCACCTATGTGTCCTCAAGTGAGAGCTGAATCATGTCCCTTCTCTGATTAAAACTCTTCAGTAGCTTTGCACGGCACTGAGGAGAAAACCTGGCTCCTTCTGAGACCCTGTGGATGAGGGCCCCACGTGTCCGCCACTCCCCCTCCCACGCTGCCCTGGCCTGCCTTTTCCTGTCTGGGTTCCGTGAGCTCACCAAGCTCTTTTCCTCCACAGGACCTTTGAGTGTGCTTCTCACTTTGCCTAGAAACTTCTCCCCCGAGGACTCAGTATAGGTGTTACCTCCTCATAGAGTCCTTCCCTGACCCCTGTGTTAGTCAGCTCAGGCCCCCATGGCAAAAGGCCAACACTGGGAGACTTAAACCACACAGATGTACTTTCTCATGATCCTGGAGGCCGGAATCCAAGATGAAGTTGCCCACAGGTCCGGTTTCTTCGAGGCCTCTCCCCTGGTCTGAGGTGGCCACCCTCTTGCTGTGTCTTCACGGGGCCTTTCTTCTGTGCGTGTGTGCCCCCCGTGTCTCTGCCCACATTTCCTCTTCTAAGAATAGCAGTCAGGGGCCCCATCTGATGGCCTTGTTTTAACTTACTTCTTCAAAGGCCTTGTCTCCATAGTCACGTGTTGAAGTACTAGGGGTTACAGTCGCAACATGAGTTTTGGGGAACACAGTTCAGTCCATACTCCCACTTATCTAAGATAGGTCCTGTCCAATGATTTTGGGGCATGTATCAAAATGACAGTTCCTTCTTTGTTTTTTGGCTTTCATGACACATACTAGGATATAAGTTCC